AAAAAAAAAAAAAAAAAAAAAAAAAAAAAAAAGAATATTTATCTAATAAAAGATTCATATCCAGAACATACCATAACTGAAATAATAGCACATTGTTTAAAACTGGGCCCAGAGACTAAATAGGCACCTGAAGAAAGAGGACATCTAGATAGCCAGTAAACATGAAATGAGTTTAACCTCATTAATCATCAGGGAAATGCAAATGAAACCACAATGATGGCTGAAGATAAATTAAGTAAAAATAAAAATTAAAAACACTGGGAATACCAAGTACTGGCAAGGACTAGGGAGGCTAGAATTCTTACACACTTGTGGTGGCCGTGTAAAAACTGAACAACTTTGGCAGTGCCAAAGCTGAACACATTCCATTCCAGAAATGCACACACATGTGCACCCAAAGACATGTATAAGAGTATTTCTAGGAAGTATTCGTAACAGCTCCAAACACAAAACAACCCAATACCCATCAATGGGAAGAGGAATAAATAGTCTATTCATATACAGATGTTCTGGTCTTATAATGGAACTGCATCACAATAAACTCACAGTAAGTAAAACATACATTAAATTAAAAATGCATTTAACATCCAGATAAACCCATCATAAAGCTGAAAACTTATAAGCTGAACTCTGTTAAGTCAGGAATGGTTTGTAATTAACCATTATACACAGCAATAAAAGTGAAGGAATTATTGTCACACTTACCATGGATCAATCGGCCTCACAATACTGAGGGAAAGAAGACATACACAAAAGGGTATCTAATAAAGTCCAAAAGCAGGCAAAACCAGTTTATGTGACAGAAGTCAGGAGCCAATAGATGGAAGAGAACAAGAAGGAGCCTTTAGTGCTGTAACAATGTTCTATTTCATCTGTTGTTTGGGTGTGGTTATGAGTGTGTATGCTTTCTTAAAAATTCACTGAGCTTAAATTTATCAATGTTTTTGTACCTATACTGCAACAAAATGTTTACAAATTTAAAAAAGAATTTAGCTACATGAGGCGATATGGCAGAAACAAAGGTGGTAGGGAATGTCTAAAATTGAGAAATTGAGAAATAACTATGAAGGCACATTGTTTAAAAAAATGAGATGCAATTACACCAACACGAAGAGTTAAAAATGGTTGCTCCTAAGGTTTGGAGGGGACTGTTTTTCAATTTTTTTGGTACTTTCTTAAAGTGACATGCATATGTTATGTATATAGAAATGGTTAGAATATTCCAATTCTTCACAAAGGAAAGATCACTAATGTAGGTTTAAAAAAGTAGACAGCTTCCTGCAGCTAACAATGCCAAAGTCCATCTGTTAGAAGAAAATTCATTCTGCTTCTCAGCACAAATTATGATTTTAAACATCAAGTTTAAAAGTTAAAACTTTACATAAGGAACTGACAGATGCTATCATGTCACCAGTTTTAAGCCAAATGTTAATCATTGAGAAAGGGGGAAAGAGACCAATGCTAGATATATTTTATTCTACTAATGCATCACAAACTACCATGGCTGTTTCATACTTATTTTCTCATTATATAAAAGTAAAAACTTGTTATGAGAGTACAGTGATATGTCTTGGTATGCAGAGTGGTGCTGCTCATGGATGAAAGTTCTTATTCTGTTTTATTCTTCATATTAAACTACCAATTCCTAGTGCAGTTTGTGAAGATGTTAATAGGAATTATATAGAAAAAGGTGTTCCAAGGTCAATCAAGTTTTGCAATCACTGGATTTCTGTATTGTGGGTCTTCTAAGAACCACCATATGTTAATGTGATTCTCCAGAAGGATGTTCCTCTGCACCTCAAATGGTGAGGCACTATAGTTATTACATAAAAAAGAAAAAAAAATTAAGAAAAAATTAAGAAAAATTAAGAAATTAAGAAAAAAAAGCCCAAATTGTTGTTTTTTTTAATGGCAAGGATCCATAACAAAAGCAATTATGAGGCAGCTAGACTACTTCTACTAGTAGGTTTAGAGTAACCCAGAAATTTGAAAACCTAAAATTTCCCCATGTCTTAAAATTTTTTCCAAGACTAATAGCATCTTTTAGGGTGTCCTGGCTGTTTGGCAGGTACACAGATTTTACTGAACTTCTCTAAAAGAGAAATTCATTCAATTAAAAACCACATTTGACAAAACTTTAAAATAAAGAGACACTGTGCTAAAAGCATTTTCTGAATTTATTTTTGTGGTTTTTCAAGTCAACATTAAACTATGTATGTTTTTAAGTCAAGGCTGAATTATAAATGAACTTCTCAGTATTTAGATACCAGAATAAAAAAGAACAAGCAAAGGTTGTATAGGATATCTGAGTTTTTTTTTTTAATCTGAACAGAAAATAAGTAAGTATACAAGTTCGCTAAACAGAAGTGGTATAAATTGAATTTTATGTATTATGGAATTCAGTACATCACGTTTACTTCGGTAGTCAGTGATTGTTATGGTTAATTCTGCAAAAAACAAAACCAGTTATGCAGAAACAAGAATATAAAATGCCCCTTTCTGAACCCCAGGTTTGATAAACTGATTTCATATCTAGCTTACTGATTATATTCCGTTTCACTTCTCCCTGTGCAAATAATACATCTAGTCATTTACTGATGGTTTGATGAGCTGAAATCATCTTCTCTTAGGATAGCTCAACGTAACAACCAAATATAAAAAAGTTATTCAAGATTCAAGGAGATAAAACAGTGCCTCAGAAACATGATTCACCCATGTATACATAATTTTAGAACATATTTTTAAACATAAAATCACAGTCAAAGACAGTGATAGCATTGCATACTCAGTGCATTACTTCATGTAGTGCATTCCTATGGCTCATCTGGAGTTTAATACCAAATAACTACCACACTTCTAATGGGCTTCTAACACAAAAATTTGTCTAATTCTTCAAAAAATCAAAAACTCTCATAAAGACCTTGAGCCTGGCATGTAAGGACTTTGTGTTTTAATATCCCAAACATTGGGAAGATTAGGTGTGACACATGGTAACCCCTCCTTGTAAGCAAGACTGCACATACATTTTTGTTACATCACCACAAAGAACCCTCAAACAACTCAATACCATAGCCTGAGAGGGGTACATTTATCATTCAGTTAAGGAAAATCGAAATGCACTCCAAGACACACACAAGGAATGAGTATTACTGTGGCAGCTAAAGAAATCTGCCACTGTGTAATAAATGCGGTTATGCAATGATGTTGTACATTTAAATAATACATTATGACTTGTTTCCTGCTACCATGGGGCACAGGAAAATGAAACTCAAGACTATCTTGCTAGAACAGGACAAATGATGACCCAGTTTTAAATAGGGTTCTTCATTGAAGGAAAAGATAGAGCCATAAAAGTCCAATTAGCTGACTTCAAATGGTTTACATCCCAGGATGAATCAGGTTACAGTGATTGAAGCCCAATTTAATTTAGGCAGGTTTTTAACCACAAGAATAAGGACATTCTTAGTACATATTAATAATTAAACCAACATATACACAATTAGCAATATCCTATATAGTATTAAATGTTTTAACAACTTGTTCTCCATTATTCTATATCTAATTTGTTGCTTTGTTTTTTTTTTTTAAAAAAAAACCAAGCTCAACTTTATTTTACAATGTACTTTGCATTTCTAAGTGTATTCCGTAATTATTTCATTGAAGCAAGTATAGTTCTCCAGATTTCTCTAAGAGCCAAACTCAACTGTATCTTCTGTTATCTGTTTGAATTCATAGTTGCCTCTGCCATCCATATGCAGGTAGTACTAGGAGAAAGACGGGGGGGAAAAAGTCAGTAACTAAGAGTGGATATAGTACTGTCCTTTATAAAAATAAAATACAGACTTCATTATTTTAAGGGAGCTAAATCTATAAGCATCCCATGAATTAGAATGCTTCTGTAACTCCATGACCAAGGATCTCAGCTACCAGTGGGTTAAATTGTGTTAAATGCAAGACTGTTCCATAGGTTAGTCTTTATTGCTTCCTGTCGCCTGATTACCTAATCAGCTTGGAATCTCTAACTTAAGGCTTTTTATTTGTTTTTAATTTATAGAGGAGAAAAAGAGCTATAAAAAGTGCCCGTATATCCTAACATTTGAAGTTGCAACAGCAGTTACAAAGCCTTCTAGTTTTATTTAGGGGCTTATTTTCAGAAAGCTTTCTGAGTTTCCATTTTCTGCATTACTATTTCTTAGCTATCCTGGCCTCTCACATTCTAGTTGTGTTCCTCTCCTTCACATGATCACTGGCCTGATGAGTATTTTGTTACTTGTCTATATCTTCAAAAGAAGAGGAAGGGTGAAACTCAAATACTCTCAATTCCTCTCAATGTTCTATGGCTATAATACTTAAGAACTTCTGAGAAAACACAGAGGCTTGGTTATATTTTAAATGGCTTTGATTTCTAGTTATTCAATTTCCTGTTCATGAAAAATTGGCAAATTATAATATGCCATAAAATAATAAAATCTATCTTTAAAAGTCACATAGTTATATAGCATTTCGTTGAATTTTATTAAGTACTTTCATACAGGCTACCTCTCTAATTTTCATGGTAATCTAAGAGATAGGCAGGTAAGGATCAATAACTTCATTATACAAAGGAAGCAACTGAGGCTAGAAACACTGGTGCCTGAACCCAGGCTCCCTGACTTCAAATCCCATGCTCTTCTTTTTATCACTCGTAGACTATCATCTACATCCTAAAGTCCTGAAAGTAAAGACTGTAATTAATTTACATCTGTCATGACACAGCTCAGTATCTGGCAAAAAAAAGTGCTTAATCAGGTACGTATTTTGCAGGACAAGATACGCTTACCATTGTTCTAACTTTTCTGAACCCCTTGCTTTTACCTAAAATTTCTATATCATTTAAGAAGGGAAAAAAGGAAAAAAGAAAGGAAAGAAGAAAGGAAGGAAGGAAGGAAGGAAGGGAGGGAGGGAGGGAGGGAGGGAGGGAGGGAGGGAGGAGGAAAAAAAAAAAAGAGAATTAAACAGGGTTTGCTTTCAGGTTTTGAGCATTTTACATTAAGAGTTGAAAAGAAGTCCCATAGTGAGAATGGCACTGCTGAAGCACCAGAATAAATAATGCATCCGTACCAATGTAAGCCTCACTAGAATATCTTTGTAAATTATAGTTACTACCTCATGAATCCTACCTACTACAGTGCATTGATAAGCATAGCTGACATTATTCAATCTTGCCCCTTATAATCCTGACCTCTATTAAAAATGTCCCTAATTTTTTTGCCATGTTATTCTTCTTAAGACTTTTTCTCCTCTGTTACTACTGGTTAAGAAAAAGTTTACTTCACCATATTTGTGATAAGACTATGCAAATTTTAGTAAGTTACTATTAACAGACAACAGTCACTTATAAAAATAGAGAAAAATTGTTATGCTATTGTTTTCAAAACGGACAACTATAATATTTAAGAAAATCTTTTTTTATAAAACCACTTTTTCTACTTAAGACATTATGTTTAAGGGAATATAAACCATACAATCTAAAACCATATTCACCTGAATTCATATTTTAAAGAAAATAAAGTTTCACTGTACCATTCTATGAAAGAAATACAAACCTCATGATGTTTCCAAAGAGATTTCCTATGTGACACAGTGAAGAGGGTGATGCCGACCTAATACAAAGAAAATGATTTAGGTTTGTATCAATAACTGAGTCACAAATTAAACTAGTCCATGTACGTCAAGCTGTTAAGAGGACTGTCTTTGGTGACTAAAGTTAAAAAGCAAAGTCCATGAGAAAAAATTCACAACTGATGGCAAATGTTTACAGCAATGGAAAGTACTGGCCATCAACCACATAATAAAAACTACCAGGTACTGGCATTAAGTATATTATTTCGTTTTGGGCAAAAAGCATATCTCCTAGCATGTTTCCTATTTTTTTGTGAAAAATATATGAGAGGAATATAAGAAGGATAAAAACAGCCAAAGGTCAAAATCAGGAAAAATTAAATCAGTATAGCATTGCTGACAGCCAACTTGCTTCTCAAATACAGGGTCATAATCACCTACTGTAAACTATTGTTATGGAATGTGTCTTGGAATTCAGCTTTTGAAAATGTATTATTTAACAACTCCAGAGGGTTCTGAGGCAGAATTTTGTAATTAAACACATGTTTCTGTAGCAACACATATGGACACTGAAATCAAGTGAGACAAATAGAGTTTAAATATCTTTTGTTAGCTTAGACAAGGTTTTACCCAGTGAGCTTGCTACAAAATTATGAAAAATGTTTTGAATTTAAGTATTTTCTGGATTTCAGATTGTGAATATGTATTTATAAATATGTACTTCAGACTTAAGAAAAAAAACATTACTAATAACAGCTGTAGTTGCTCTGGATCAGTGGTTCTCAACCAAGGTGGGGAGGACAGTGATATTTGTCCCTCAGGGGGACATTTGGCAATGACTGGAGGCATTTTTATTGTCACAACTGAAAGCACCACTGGCATCTAAGGGTAGAGGCCAGGGACGCTGCTAAGCATTCTCCAGTGCACAGAACCCCCCGCGCTGCCCAACTAGGAATTACCAGTCAAAAGATCAAAAGTGCCAAGACCAAGAAACCCCACTTTGGGTCACTGTTCCTCCACGTCCATCACTTGAAGCTGGCAAATGCAAGTCTAGGGCATCCAGGAAATTTCCACTATGGTTTCTTCATTTTATTTTCATTTTGATAATTTTTAAAAGATCATTGTAAGTATATTCTGGATCATTTTTACCAAGAGATTTAAGTGCCTAACTTTGTATTTTTACACCTCTGATTGCCAAGGTGATATAACATAAAACTTCTAATGTGTAATAAATTTGGCTGCACTGTGAAAGGTTCTCAAATTGGTTAGGAATTGTATAATAAAATAAGCATATTATCAGTATTAATAAAACATGTATTTCAAACATACCATACTTTTCTGATTTTTCAAAGCTCATTTCAGATATTATTTCTCTGCTCATGATTCCACAATAATTGGATCAGATATCTACTTAATGCACACATTCTTTATATGAGAATATAAAGAATATATAAATTATATATCAAAATACAAAAGCAAATGCAAAATAATAAAATTTGAGCCTCTGATTCTATTTTCCATAATTAAATCCCAAACCACTGGTTTAGTTCCACAGGTCTCTTTAATGTTGAAAATTTGAAATTGTATCTAAGTTTTTTCTGTATTTAATTTGTAAGTTTAAATTAGTTTTGTAGCTATAAAAGGGCTCTAGGCTTAAGCAGTTAACACCTCATTTCATGTTTACATGTTTAAGTGCTATTACAGTAATTTAAATTATCTATGAGGCCCCATATGAATTTTCTTCTTTTAAATGGAACTAATGTTTTATAGAACTTATACACTCCTATATAAGTACTTCAAGTCTATAGTTAGAACATACGAGGAAATCACGGGGTCGAAATCACCAGTGAAGAGCCGCTATGTCATTGAATCAATGGCACACTGCATGGTTTTATGTACATGAGAATACCATAAACATCTCTAAGGCCTATAAATTTGAAAACCAAAATGAACAAACATATAAATATTATATATTACCAAGACAAATTCAAGAATAGAAACTAAATCATGAACAAGATAAAATCAGTAGTTAAAAATCTTTCTACAAAGAATAGCAAATTTGTTCTTTTATCATCACACCAGTGCTTCTCAAACTTTAACGTGCCTTTGAATCATCTCAGAATTTTATTAAAATGCAGATTCTGGTTTAGCAGTGCTTGAAATTCTGCATTTCTAACAAACCCCCAGGTGATACTGCTGCTGCTGAACATGACCATACTTTGAAGAGTAGGGATTCATACTATATATACTCAATATGACCTTTTTTATTTATTGAGAACCCCTAAAGAATATATATAAAATGTTAAAAATTGGCCTGTCACAGTGGCTCACGCCTGTAATCCCAGCACTTTGGGAAGCTGAGGCAGGCGGATCACGAGGTCAGGAATTTGAGACTAGCCTGACCAGCATGGTGAAACCCCATCTCTACTAAAAATACAAAAATTAGCTGGGTGTGGTGGTGTGCGACTGTAATCCCAGCTACTCAGGAGACTGAGACAGGAGAATCACTTGAACCCAAGAGGCAGAGGTTGCAGTGAGCAGAGACTGCGCCACTGCACTCTAGCCTGGGCGACAGAGTGAGACTTTGTCTCAAAAAAAAAAAAAAAAGTTAAAAAATCTTCATCTACCTCATTTACTTATACAGAAACTATAAAACAGCTAGGATATACTATACTTGTTCCAAAATTTAACCATGGTATAGATGTTGGTAACAATTTCTCAAAGAAAGAAAACTGATACTATTGAATAATTAAAGAATGAAACCAATAAAGACAGCCTCAGACTTGGCTACTAAAAGCAGCTTTGGTAAAATATTGCTCAGGCTAGAAAATAAAACTGATAAATTAAAAATTGCCAAATAATTATCACTGAGTTTTACTCATTAAAAAACCTGATGATTAGGTAAAGTTAATGGAATAAATTAAGAAAAGATCAGTTTATTAACTCTAAGTAATGAGGTAATGGGCCAGATGTGATGGATATTGTTTTATATCTCATTTATATAAAATAATATATTTAAATCTATTTCTATATATAAAGAGACTCATATACAGAATGTATTTATAATTCTTTTTCTTTTACTCACGTTTTAAATCTTTATTAAAACAAGAAATCGTGGTGTGGTGGCTCACGCCTGTAATCCTAGCACTTTGGGAGGCTGAGGCAGGCAGATTGCCTGAGGTCAGGAGTTCAAGACCAGCCTGGCCAACATGGTGAAACCCTGTCTCTACTAAAAATACAAAAACTAGCTGGGCATGGTGGCAGGCACCTATAGTCCTAGCTACTCAGGAGGCTGAGGCAGGAGAATCATTTGAACCCAGGAGGAAGAGGTTGCAGTGAGCTGAGATCGCACCACTGCACTCCAGGTTGGATGACAACAGCGAGACTTCAAAAAAAACCAAAAAACAAAAAACAAGAAATCTTCTGGTAGAAATTTTGTTACTTAGTGACTTGGAATCTTCTCTTTGGGGAGATGTGGAAACACGGTACACTAGGAAGGAAGCCAGGGCTCCTCAAACTGAGCACCTGCACACTTACCTTTCGACAATGACTGTAAATGTAGCCTTCCACGTCGACACTAACTGCACTTGTGCATTCATCCAAAATGGCAAACTGGGGTTTATGATAAAATAATCTTGCCATCTGAAGGATAAAAAAAATATTTTGTGTAAAACACAGGCAGAACTAAAATTAATAAGCCAAACAAATTTATGTTAAATATGCATTTGCAGTCTTGTAAAGCAAAAGTATAAAAATTATTCTAAACTCAAAAAATCTACTTCCCAGAAACAGAAACAATATAAACATCATTGTTTTTACTGTCATCCTGAACAAAGAGAAAAATGTACTTCATGGGAAATATTAAGTGCTCAGAGTAAAACAAAAAGCTTAAGACTGATGAGAGAGGGAGTTTCAAACTAGTTTAAAGAAAGCTCACTAAACAAATAAGATTCGAGAGGACATATTTTAACCAAATCTCAGAATTGAGACTAGATGACTTCAATGCAAAAAGGTCTCTATTTAAAATATTTTGCTGCTTAAGTGTTGGTACCAATTAATATTCCCACCAATAATTTTTTATTGTACCTGTTTTATATCTCCATTGTCAGTTCTGGGTATGCTCAATTTTTTTTTAGGCCAATGCTAATTTTATAAGTGAAAATTAACACCAAAATTATAGCTTACATTTCTTTAACTATCAGGAATAATGAACATTTTCCCATATTTATGCTCCTGTGTATTTTATTTTCTGGGGATTGTTTATGCTGATCTTTTGTGTAACTGATATTCCAGTTATTGGCATCTGCCCCCTGACAAGATCTTCCTGTTTAAGACCAATGGGCACTTTTCTGTCCTTAATTTGTCTTCTCTGCAACACTCTACTCAGAAAACCACTCCATCCTTTTGAGAAAGTGACGGTGAAACCGTGCACCTAAGTTTCCTCCCACTTCTGAGGATCCTTTCTCAGTTTCTAGCACTTTCTTTTCCACTTGACCATTAAATACAGGAGCTCCTCAGGGTTAATTTCTAGGCCACCTTCTCTTTTTCCTGTATTCTATCTCTCAGTGATCTCATCCAATCTTAATTTCAAATACCATTTACATTTTATAAACTTGCAATATGCATCTCTCACTCATATTTTTCTAATTTCCAGATATATAAAAATTTTGTGCCAGGTGTGATGGATCATGCCTGTAATTCCAGCACTTTGGGAGGCCAAGGCCAGAAGAATGCCTGAGATCAGGAGTTCTAGACCAGTCTGACCAACAGGGAGAAACCCCGTCTCTACCAAAAATATGAATTAGCTGGGCGTGGTGGCGCATGCCTGTAATTCCAGCTACTGGGGAGGCTGAGGCAGAAGAATGGCTTGAACCTGGGAGGTGGAGGTTGTGGTGAGCTGAGATTGCACCACTGCATGCCAGCCTGTGCAATAAGAGTGAAGTCAGTTTCAACAACAACAAAAAAAAATTCGGCCAGGCACAGTGGCTCACATCTATAATCCCAGCAGTTTGTGAGGCTGTGACGGGGCACTGCTAGAGGTCAGGAGTTTGAACCCAGCCCAGGCAACACAGGGAAACCTCATCTCTACTCAAAAAAACAAAAAACAAAAAACAAAAAACAAATTAGCCAGGTATATGGCGGTGTTCACCTGTCGTTCCAACTACTCAGGAGGCTAAGACAGGAGGGCTTGAGCCCAGCAGGTCAAGGCTGTAGTGAGCTATGATCAGGCCACTGCACTCCGGCCTGGCTGAAACAGTAAGATGCTGTCTCAAAAAATAAAAATTTAAAATTTAAACATTTAAAAAATTAAAAATAAAAATTCCTATTTGACTTTCTACTTGGGTATTTCACAGGACTCTCAAACTTTTAAAAGTCTAAAAGTCAAATGTAATTTCTAGATTTTCCCTCTAAAATCCATTTCCTTCCCTAATCTTGAACATTTCAGCAAATGAGACTATCGAACAGTTGTGCCAGTTAGAAAGCCAGGAGTCCTTCCTAGTCAGGGCCTTCGCTTCTCATCCTCCCTTTCACTCTCCCACCGCCATTTTTAGAATGAACTAAAAAGCCCATTCAAGTAAGAAATGTGAAGTTTCAAGTTCACTCATTTTTCTCATCTCCAGAAACATGCCCTTAGTCCACAGCACCCTCATCTGGATGACTATAAGTAACCTCCTACCACCTCTGCTGCTCCTCTCCAGTCCACTCTCCATGTAACCAGAGAGTATCTTTCACACACATCAATCAGAAAACTTCACTCTTTGGCTTAAAACACTTCAACAACTTCCCATTTTACTTAAAATACAATTCAAACTCCTTACCATGGTCTGTAAGACCTGTACAATCTTATTCCTACTCACACTCCAACCTCGACATTCTAGCCAACACCACCTCCTCTCAACTGCTTATGAACAAGATGTCTTATGCCTTCCAGGCTTAGCACACATCACTCTTACCTTGGGTCTCAAATGCCTTTCTCTGCTCCTTAGAGCTTTCAAATTTCTGCTTATAATGTCATCTTCTCAGGCAAACCTACCCTCATCCCTAGCCACAATCCTAGTGGGTCCTTTCTGTAACACCTCTGAAGCACTTCCTATACTGTGAATTGTATATTCGTTGACTACCTGCCTAAGCTATAAGATTCACAGGCCGGGCACAGTGGCTCAAGCCTGTAATCCCAGCACTTTGAGAGGCTGAGGCGGGTAGATCACGAGGTCAAGAGAGCGAGACCATCCTGGTCAACATGGTGAAACCCCGTCTCTACTAAAAATACAAAACATTAGCTGGGCATGGTGGCGCATGCCTGTAATCCCAGCTACTCAGGAGGCT